CTCGACCGACTCATCGCTCGAGCTCGAGCCGGAGCTCGATTCCGAGCTCGAGTCCTCGTCCTGGTTCACATCGCCGCCCGGGCCGCTCGCCCCGTGCTGAGCCTGCCTCGATGTATCCTCCTCGATCTCCTCCTCCTCCTCGACGCTGTACTAAATCACGACGCGTCCCGTCTTCTCGCCTCCTCCCTCGTGGTCGGCACCCCCTCCCACACCTGCTCCCTCCGCCAGCTGGTCGATCTTTCTCGAAAACAGCTTGACCATGAACAACGGAAGCACACCCAGGCCAGTGTTCGTTCTCCCTAGATGCACGAGTTCGCCCTTTCAAGGCTGTAGGATGAAGTCGTCCCATTTCGACAGAATCCGGCGCACCCCATGCACGACACGAGCTGCCGCGCCGTTTTGATAGGGGCTCGACAAGGCCGTCGTCGTCTGCGACGGGTACAAAACATACGTAAGCGACAAAACACATGCTCGACGAAAACGCTGTTGGTCTAAAGAGAGCTTACCAGATGGTCGAAATCCTCGTTCAACTCCAGACGAAGGTCCATCACCTTCAACACTTCTTGGTCGTCCTCGGTCAGAGCCTGGTGGGTCATCGCGTACTCGGCGCGAAGCTGCTTCTTCATCCACCTGCGACGCAGAGGACAGAAGAGTAAGATTGTCGAGAACAGCAGCTTGACAGCAGGGTTGCAAAGCTGTCACTCGCACGAAAACTTCTTGCGCCAGAGAAGATTGGTGGTTCATATCGGGAAACTTGTCTTTCGAATCGAAGTGCATCATTCGAGTTCGACTGCCACGGTGCCTCGGAGCCAGCAGATCATCGGGGCGCGATACCACAAACAGGCTCGAGTGGGAGAACGGAGGCACACTCAGTCTGCATGCACAGCCAATGCACGTGAGAACGGGTTCAGGGCTAAAGACGGAGCACGCAAGGCGACGGGAGAGTGTCGAACTCACGTTGTCCGCAGCAGAACGAAAATGACTTGCTTGCCGAGGAGGCCGTCGAGGTGGTTGTTCGCAAAAGCGACCGGGGTGGGACGGGCCATCTCTTCACGCGCACGCGCCGGAGTCACGATCGACACCTTGGGGAGCTGCTCAACGGAGAGCAGCTCATGACAGAACAGGCTGCACGGAAAGCTAAGTCAACCTCAGCGATTGGTAAACCGAAACATGGCAAACCGAAAATGTTCGACGGGACACGTACACGACGCCCGCGACCATCATGCTCTCGTCGAGCTCCCCTTTCGGCGCCTCTCAAATCGCATTCAGCTGGTCCTCGAACACCTCCACCTCGACCCCGCCTGCACCAAGGATGAGGCCGCGTCGAACCGTGGCCTCGTTCATGACGGGTACGGAGGCGGGGCCCGTAGCCATGTCTGTTCTAGCAGTGGAGAGGGCGGACGCGCAGGGGAGTTGGGAACTAGCAGGGACTAGGAAGTAGGGAAGCAAAAATCGGAAACAGCAACAAAATGAGACCGGACGTAGGGTATTAGCTGTTTGCCATCCCTCCCATCGCGACGGACCAGGGGGGTTCAAGGGCGAGGAGGCAGGGCGCGTTCCGAGACGTGGGAGGAGGAGGGAGGCCGGCGGGGCCCCATTGGCCTTGACATGAAACCTGGTCGTTGGTAGCATGGGGTGGGCAGCCTTGCATGCAGCTGAAAAGCCCCTTCCAAGGTTCGGGAGGGGGCCTTCGACACGTCGCCAAGATCGAGCGGCTTGAACGAAACGGGCCCGTTTAGGGCGAGAGCGGTGGAGCGCGGCGCAGATGGGCGTCGCTTTCGTCTGGCCGGCGAAATTTCGCGGACTGGTTCCGTCGGCGACGCGTCGGCCGGCGAGGGACGGGTGGGTTACCTGACGGAACCCGTCGACGAACTGAGCGAGGGGTTTGGCTCGGTTGGGGGGTTGGGCTCGGTTGGGAGGGGGACCACTGCCAGCTCGACGGCGCGGGCTGCTGGCGTCATCGGCAGCTGGCGCCAGCTGGGGGTGCCGGTTTTCGGGCGGGAGGGGGGGGGGGTGGCTCCCGCCCCTCGCGTGCGCCGCTAGGCGACTGCGGGAAAACGAAAATCCCTCCGAGGAAAACCCGCAGGGGCGAACGGGTTTTCTCGGAGGGATTCGGGCGAGGTCTTCCCAGCCTTTTAGCACATCAGCTTGTCCTTGTCAAATCCACTGAACCGAACTCTCACCAATTGAGTGATTTCAACTATCGCTGAGTGTTCCTTGCCGTGGCGCTGACTCTCCCAGCAACCATAGCCTTCGAGCACTTTACTTAGTTCCGTTGCAACTACTCAGAATGGCTGCTGCATCACCGATCGCTCAGCTGTCAGATGATCTTCTCTCCGTTATCCTCCGTCTCGTCGGTCGATCCGACGGTCAGTTCCAGCACGCGCTTGTGTGCAAGAAATGGCATCGCATTGCCCGTAGCGTGCACGACCACATCCACATTCGCGAAAGCCGTCGCATGCGTCCTCGCGAGCTGCTCGCGCACCTCTCGTCATTCCCAAGGCTCCGAAAGCTCGTCCTCGCCGTCTGCAGCATCTCGTCCGTCCCCGACTCTCTCCTCTCGGGGATTGCCGACACGTGTCCAGATCTGACGGACCTCCACGTCGATATGATGGTACGAGAGTACAGACAGGGTGGCTTTAATGAGAGCGGGCTTTCGTATCTCTTTGAGAAGTGCACACGGCTGGAGCATCGGGGAAAGAGCGGGTGTGGTTTCCAAGTTGGAAACCAGTCGTAAGCGATTGGTTTTCGGCTGCAGGCGTTTTCCCCGATGAAGCGTGTGGTTTGCGTGTATAGTAGCTTGTTGCTCGCGAGAAGGTTTCGAGTGGTCGAGCAGCTGGAAGCCAAACTTGAAGATTTGGCTTGGATAATTTCGACGAACTGAACGGAGACAAGCGGCGCATCGGCAGTGGGCGGAATTTTTTTCCGATTGGTTGTCGTGTCAGCAATATCGACACGATAAACACTGCTTCGGTTGTTGGAATCTGGATGTTGAACTAAGGTCGTTATTTTTTACACATCTCGTTCAAAATTGACGGCCCAGCGAAAGTGATGCAAGTCAATCGAAATGATGACGCGGAAGTTAGCATGTATTGGTTTCTCTGATAAAATTCAATCGTTAACTTTCAGGCGGCATTTGTGCATGTAACGGTGGCACTTGTGCATGTAACGCTAGGGCCCAATAGAATGGTAAATATAATAAATTTAATAACTTCCTCTACACCGCACTAACTGTCAGAACATTATAGCTTACTTATTTGTGTAGGCTATAGTGGGGTATTCCATAGGGGGTACAACCCAGTTAGGGTTTCCTATTTGTACTCACTTCGTTCATAGTTCACTCATTCTCTCGTTCATTTCTTCTCATGGTATCAGAGCAGGTTCCCCTGTGGGAACTGTGCTTAGGGCCCACCACCTAGAACTTTTTTTCCTGCCCTAGCGCCTTAGTGCCCTAGCGCCCGCCCTAGCGCCCGCCCTAACACCCGCCCTAGCGCCTACCTCGGCGCCCGCCCTTTCGAGCCGCCCGTTAGCGCCGCCCGTTAGCGCCGCCCCTTAGCGCCGCCCGTGCGGCCGCCCGTTCGCGCCGCCCGTTAGCGCCGCCAGTAGCGTCGCCCGTGCGGCCGCCCGTAGCGCCGTCCGTGCGGCCGCCCGTAGCGCCGCCCGTGCGCCGCCGCCCGTAGCGCCGCCCGTGAGCCGCCGCCCGTCGCGCCACCCGTTAGCGCCGCCCGTGAGACGCCGCCCGTGAGCAGCCGCTCGTGACGCCGCCGCCCGTGACGCCGCCGCCCGTGACGCCGCCGCCCGTCACGCCGCCCGCCCGTGACGCCGCCGCCCGTCACGCCGCCCGCCCGTGACGCCGTCGCCCGTCACGCCGCCCGCCCGTGAGCCGGCGCTGCCCGCGAACCGCCCACCCGTGGGCCTTCAACCCGCCCGTGAGCCGCCGACGCCGCCGACGCCGCCCACGTCGCCCGTGAGCTGCCGACGCCGCCGACGCCGCCCGTGAGCCGCCGACGCCACCCGTGAGCCGCCGACGCCGCCGCCGCCGCCCGTCAGCCCCCGACGCCGCAGCCACCGCCCGTGAGCCGCCGACGCCGCCGACGCCGCCCGTGAGCCGCCGACGCCGCCGCTGCCGCCGCCGCCCGTGAGCCGCCGACGCCGCCGCAGCCGCCCGTGAGCTCCCCGCGCGCCGTCCCAGCCGCCCGTGAGCCGCCACCGAGCCGCCCCAGCCGCCCGCGCCGCCCTAGCCACCCGAGCCGCCCGAGCCGCCCGAGCCGCCCGAGTCGCCCGAGCTGCCCGAGCCGCCAGAGGAGCTGCACTCCTGCTCCTGTCGGGCTACTGCTGCTCCTGGGCTGTGTACCTGCGCCGCTGACCTACCCGACTCTTCCTGCCCGGTGAGACTGTCAGCTGCTGTCATGGCCACCCCCAATGTCCTAGCTTTTGACGCTGAGGGTAGAGCCATTGACTTTGCAGTCAGGATTGAAGACCTGCAGCTGTACTTACTGTGTGATGCGATCGATGAGGTCTCTCTCTTTGACTTTGTCTCTGGCGCTGTCCCTGCCCCTCCTGCTGATGCTGATTTCGCCGTTCGCTCCAAGTGGGCGACCCGCGATGCTGCTGCACGTCTTGCTGTGCGTCGCCACCTCCCTTCCTCCGAGCGTGCCCACTTTAGTCAGTGCAAGACCGCTCAGGCCTTGTACGACGCTGTAGTTGCACGCTACTCCTCCCCTTCCTCCGCTACGCTGAGCCGCCTCATGCTACCTTTTCTCTTCCCTGACCTCGCTGCCTTTCCCACTGTCGCTGACCTCGTTACCCACCTCCGCGCTAGTGACGCTCGCTACCGCGCTGCCCTTCCTGCTGAGTTCCGCGCCGCAAACCCTCCTCCCATGTACATCACTCTCTACTTTCTCGTCACCCGTCTTCCTGAGTCCCTTCGTGTCGTTAGGGACCAGTTTCTCTCTGTCTGTCCCACCACCCTCACTGTTGACCTCCTTGAGGAGTCCCTGCTAGCGGCTGAGAAGAGCATAGTCGCTGTAGGGGCCTCTCGGGGTGACCCTCGCACCCCCATCTTTGAGGGGTGTTCTCCTTCCCCCCTGCTGCCCTCTGTCGCCTCTGCCGCTGCGGCCGACCTCGCTGGTTTTGAGTCGGTCGGTGCGGCGTCTGCCCCCAGCGGTAGACGCCGCTCTGGCAAGGGCAAGGGGGGCAAGGGAGCGGGTGGAGCTAGAGGAGGAAGTGGCGGTGGAGGTGGGGGTGGCGGGGGGAGTGGGGGTGGCGGTGGAGGTGGTGGCGGGAGTGGAGGTACTGGTGGAGGCGGTGGAGGCGGAGGTGGCGGCGGAGGCGGTAGCGGAGGAGGCGGGGGCGAGGGTGCCGGTGGGGGCGGTGGCAGTGGAGACGGGGGTGGCGGTGGAGGCGGGGGGTGGCGGTGGCGGCGGGGGTCGGAGTGGCTCGTCCCAGCGGAGCAGCTCTGGGGGTGGTCAGCGCCAGCAGCAGCAGCAGCAGCAGCAGCAGCAGCAGCAGCAGCAGCAGCGCTCTCGCACCGTCCCCGCCCCTCAGCAGCTCCGTGAGTGGTACTTGCAGCGTCAGCGTGGTGGTGCGTTTGGTCCCTGCCCCTACGTTCTTCGCACCGGCGATCGTGCGGGGGAGAGGTGTGGAGGCACCCACACAGCCCGCCGCTGCTTTGGCCGCCTGACCGACGCCTGGCGTCAGCAGTTTCCGGAGGCCGCTGAGATCCCCCGCTAAGGGGAGCTGTCTAGGGCTGGTGTAGCCATTTATGATCTTGACTTTGATGCTATTCTTTCTGCTATGTATGCTGTGACTGGTAGTGATGAGGATGACTGTTACCGGTGTTTCCCGCCCAACCCGGGCATTGGTACTGCTGCGTCAGGTACTAGTGAGGCTGCTGCTCTAGGTGCCAGTGCGTCTGTGCTCTCAGGTACTGGTGAGTCTGCCCTCTCAGGTACTGTGTCGGCTTCGGCCTCTCACACCTTCACCCTTGACTCTGGAGCGTCTCGCTCCTTCTTTCGGGACCGCACTACTCTCACGCCGCTGAGTCGGCCGGTTGCGGTGTCCCTGGCTGACCCCTGTGGGGGGCCTGTCCTGTCTCGCTTCTCCACGGTACTTCCGTGTCCGGCGGCCCCCTCTGGCACCCTGTCTGGTCTCTACCTCCCCTCGTTCTCGACGAACCTGGTGAGTGGTGCTGACCTACAGGATGCGGGTGTCCACCAGTTCACTCCTGCTCGTCAGCGAGTGACCCACTGCACGGAGGCTAGCACGGGACGCCACCTGGCTACGTTTACACGTCGGCCAGGGTCGAGCCTGTACACACTGACCACTGCTTCTCCTCCAGGTGCTGAGTCTGGTAGGGTCCCTTCGTCTGGTCAGGTGTTTGCCGCAGCGTCCAGGTCTGGTCCTGAGTCTTCCCCCTGTTCGTGTCGTCGTCTGTCTCACGAGACCCTCCTCTGGCACCACCGCCTTGGCCACCCCTCTCTGCTTCGGCTCAGAGGCATGGCCTCCCGTCTTCTTGTGTCTGGTCTCCCCCGGTCTCTACCTCCCCTTCCTCAGGGCCCTGGCCCTGCCTGTGTCCCCTGTGTCGAGGGGCGCCAGCGTGCTGCCCCTCACTCCTCCCAGTTTCCTCCGACAGAGGCCCCGCTGCAGACGCTTCACATGGACGTGTGGGGCCCAGCCCGCGTCCGTGGACAGGGTCAGGAGCGCTACTTCCTGCTCGTTGTTGACGACTACTCGCGTTACACCACAGTCTTCCCCTTGCGCAGCAAGGGTGAGGTTACTGAGGTGCTGATCGATTGGATCCGCGCAGCTCGTCTTCAGCTCAGGCAGAGCTTTGGCTTCGACTTTCCTGTGTTGCGTCTGCACTCTGACAGAGGCGGAGAGTTCTCCTCTGGCCTTCTGCGTGCCTACTGTCGGGCGCGAGGCATCCGCCAGACCTTCACGCTTCCGGACTCCCCGCAGCAAAATGGGATTGCTGAGCGCCGCATTGGCATGGTCATGGACGTCGCCCGTACGTCCATGATGCATGCGGCTGCCCCCCATTTTCTGTGGTCGTTTGCGGTCAGGTACGCAGCGCATCAGATCAACCTCCACCCCAGGGTCTCCAGGCCGGAGACCTCCCCAGCCCTGCTGTGGACGGGGAAGGTTGGCGATGCGTCGGCGTTCCGGGTCTGGGAATCTCGGGCGTTTGTCCGCGACTTGTCTGCGGACAAGCTGTCCCCTCGTGCTGCTCCCTGCGTCTTCCTGGGGTTCCCCCCCGACGCCCCTGGGTGGCAGTTCTACCACCCCACCTCTCGACGTGTTCTGTCCTCCCAGGACGTCACGTTCGACGAGTCGGTACCCTACTACCGCCTCTTCCCCTACCGCACTCCGTCCCTTCCCCCACCCCCGCTCTTCTTGGTACCAGGTCCCCCCCCGGTAGTCCCCCTCCCCCCTCAGGGTCCTGCCCCTTTAGGTGTGTCCCAGGTAGACGCGGTCGAGCTTGTCGAGGTCACTGGTGACTCTGGTGCTGCTGCGGGAGCTGAGCCTGGGGGTGCGGAGTCTGGGGGTGCTGAGCCTGGGGGTGCGGAGTCTGGGGGTGCTGAGCCTGGGGTTGCTGTGCCTAGGGGTGCTGAGCCTGGGGGTGCTGAGCCTGGGGGTGCTGTGCCTGGGGGTGCTTCGTCTCGCCGGGAGCCACTCTACCCACAGGAGCTGCGTGAGTGGTTTGCCAGGCGCTGGAGGCGTGCTGCTGGTGCTGGTGGTTCTTTGGCTGCAGAGGGTACTGCTGCCGCGCGTCCCGGCGGTGCTCGTACTGTGGGTGCTGGAGCTGCTAGGTCTGAGAGTTCTCCTGGAGCTGGTGCTGCTGAGGGGGTTGGTGCTGAGCCTGCCGTTGGCGGTCCGACTGACAGTGCTCCTGGTGCTGCTGCTGGAGGTTCTGGAGCTTCTGGTGGTGCTGCTGGAGGTGCTGCTGGAGTGGGTGCTCCTGCCGAGGGTGCTGGTGCTGTTCCTGCTGTCTCTGGCGTCGCCGCGCGGCCCCGACCGTACTTCGTTCCGCTCCTGCAGCAGGTTCTTGGTCTTACACCTCCTCCTCCTCCCTTAGAGGGTCCGCAGCCTGTCCGGTCACAGCCACAGCTACAGCCTGCCTCCCCTTTGCCTGCTCCTTCTCCCTACGCTGGTCCGACTGGAGGTCTTACTGAGCGTCGTGAGCCTGCGTCTCGTCCTGCGTCGCCTGTTCGTACTGAGCGCGCTAGTGGTCGCGGGTCGCGTCAACGTCCTCCTCCTGTCCCTGGCACGCACCAAATGTCACTGCGTCCGTCCACTGCTCCTCTGCGTGCCCCTTTGCCTTCTCCTCCCGCTTCCTCTCTTCCTGCTCTTGCCGACCTGAAGTCGGACTCTCTTCGTGCTGCCAGTCCTACTGTCACGCGTCTCCTTGCTACTGCTGTCACTGACCCTTCCTTCGCGTCGTCTGCTGCGTCTGCCCTTGTCACTGAGCTTGTCGACTTTGCTGCGCGCTGTCGTCTAGACTACGCTGCCAGTCTTGTTGCTGAGTCTGAGTCTGCCTGTCCTCCGTCCGTCGGGGGTGAGTGTGCCCTCGGCACGGACGTCCTTGAGGACAGGCAGGAGGAGTTACAGTGTCTAGCCGCCGCTTCACCTCATCTCGCGTCTGTACTGCTAGCCCCTGAGGGAGACCCGGATGCACCAGACATCCCGACTCCGCGCTCTTACGCGGAGGCGATAAAGGGTCCCTACTCCTCTCAGTGGCAGGCAGCTATGGATGCAGAGATGGCTTCCTGGAAGTCCAAAGGCACCTACGTCGACGCTGTTCCCCCTCCTGGGGCGAACATTGTCAGTGGTATGTGGATTTTCAGGGTGAAGCGGCCACCGGGTTCTCCGCCTGTCTTCAAGGCGCGTTACGTGGCTCGTGGCTCCAGTCAGCGGCAGGGGGTTGACTACTTTCAGACCTTCTCCCCCACCCCGAAGATGACCACTCTTCGGGTTCTGCTGCACGTTGCTCCTCACCGTGACTACGAGCTGCACTCTCTCGACTTCAGCACAGCTTTCTTGCAGGGCAGCCTGCACGAGGAGATCTGGCTGCGTCGCCCACCTGGCTTCACTGGGTCTTTCCCTCCTGGTACCCAGTGGAGTCTCCGGCGTCCAGTCTACAGTCTCCGCCAGGCGCCACGTGAGTGGCACGACACACTGAGGACTACGCTCGCGGCACTTGGGTTTGCTCTGTCTAATGCCGACCCGTCACTGTTTCTGCGCACCGACACCTCTCTGCCGCCGTTCTACATCCTCGTGTACGTCGACGACTTGGTCTTTGCCACAGCTGACACTGCTGGACTCGCCTACGTGAAGTCCGAGCTGCAGAAGAGACACACGTGCACTGACCTGGGTGAACTGCGTAGCTACCTTGGCTTGCAGATCACCCGGGACAGAGCGCGCCGCACCATTACCCAGACTCAGTCACACATGGTGCAGCACGTCCTTCAGCGCTTCGGCTTCACGTACTCCTCGCCTCAGGCCACTCCTCTGTCTACTCGCCACTCGCTCTCAGCTCTGCCTTCGGATGAGTCCGTAGAGTCAAGTGGCCCGTTTGCAGAGCTTGTTGGCTGCCTCATGTACCTGATGACCTGCACACGTCCTGACCTTGCATACCCTCTTAGCATTCTCGCACGCTATGTTGCTCCTGGGAGACACCGACCAGAGCACATGGCTGCAGCGAGAGGGTGTTGCGCTACTTGTGCAGTACGTCGGGCATGGGGCTAGTGCTTGGAGGGCGCAGTCCAGTGGTCCTCAGTGGGCACGCAGACGCTTCTTGGGCTGACGACCAGGCTACGCAGCGGTCGTCACAGGGTTACACCTTCAGCCTTGGTTCCGGCTCTGTTTCGTGGCGGGCTACCCGCTCGTCTTCTGTTCTCGGCTCCAGTTGTGAGGCTGAGATCTACGCTGGGGCTATGGCTGCACAGGAGTTACGCTGGCTCACCTACCTGCTGACCGACCTTGGAGAGCAGCCTCGTTCTCCTCCAGTCCTGTACGTAGACAACAAGGCCATGCTGGCCTTGTGTCGAGAGCAGCGACTGGAGCACAGAACGAAGCACATTGCCCTCCGCTACTTTCTTGCTCGTGAGCTGCAGCAGCGTGGACAGTTGAGACTTGCGTACGTGGCCTCTGAGGCCAACACTGCTGATGTCTTCACTAAGGCACTTGCGCCTTGTGATCATCAGCGTTGTTGCACGCAGTTGGGTCTTGTGTCTGTCTTGCCTCACTTGCTCACTTCTTGACCTTGCTTGTACCTTCACCTATATATACTCTTGCTCTTACTTGCTTGACTCTTGTATATCTTTATATATGATCTTGCATGTGAACTGGCCTTCTGGCCTTTTGAACTTGTGCTCGGAATGTGTGGTGACTTTGTGATCCACCCTGAGCTTTGCTTTGCTTTGCTTGACTGGTCTTGTGACCCCTTGTTCTCCCCCACTTTGCCTATGGGGGTGTGTCAGAACATTATAGCTTACTTATTTGTGTAGGCTATAGTGGGGTATCCCATAGGGGGTACAACCCAGTTAGGGTTTCCTATTTGTACTCACTTCGTTCATAGTTCACTCATTTTCTCGTTCACTTCTTCTCACTAACAGTACTCGAAACATAACAAACGTTGCTCAACATTATACATTTACTAAATTGACACTGTATACACAAAATACGTAGCCACATATTAACTACACTTACAACTACACTACCTAAATCTAAAACAGTTCTACCTGCACCTGGTACGGATCATGACCCCTGCGATGAGCGCTGGTCGGGACAAGATCATCAGGGGAGAGATCCCCAAGCTCATCCCCAGCGAGCTCCTCTTCAGAAATGTCGGTCCAACCGACGATGCATAGCTTCCCGATGCCAATGCACTCTCCCTCGCGCTTAATTTGGCTGGCGTTGATCCAACGCTGCACCACTCGTGCCTGCCTGGCGAGAGCTCCAGGATCCCCGGAACGCGTGAACTGGGCCTTGTTGCAGCAGGGATTGCGCAATTTGGAACGCACCTGAGACAGTTACCACAAAAATTGTAAGCATTACATTAGGATAAAATACCACCGTAAAACTAGAGAACTCACCACTGCAAGCAGCACAAGAAGCTGCTCAGGAAACAAGGCAATCGGGAGGGACCCGTCCCACTCAGAGTCCCACAGAGCAGCACATTTAATAAAACCGTCGGTGGAAAACGGGACTCCGTTAAGGACATGCCAGGGTAATCCGAAAAACTCTGCAGTGACAATGAGAAGGTCAGATACAAGTTTACGGATGGTACAGAAAACGGTGAAGAAGCCTACTTACTGGAATCGTTCCTGGTGACATAGACTTCGCACTTGCTAGAGAAACCCTTGGGCTCGTAGTAAATAGTCAGGCCCTTCAGGCTACGCTTCTCACTCATGAAGACACAGGGCTCGTTAGTCAACGCGAGGATGCGGGTAAGTCGGTAGATCTTACCGATGCGATCATTGAAACGCACACAGGCATGCCTCAGCTTGCCTTGCGACGTCGCAATCGCAGCCACTTTCAATCCTTCAGGTGAGTCTATCGTGTGGCCCGAATGCCCTGCATACAAAAAAAATGTAGTCAGCTTCCATAGACTGACAGCAACAACAGAGACAACAGAAGGCAACCCTTACTAATGAGCGACTTGAGCATGTCATCAGAATTGGGAGAGAGATTGAGCATCTCTCGGTTGAACAGAAACTCATCGCAAGCCTTCTTGGTGTAGACCTGCGCGCTACACAAAAGACCTTAGTAATCCGACGTTTCTGGAGGAAATGAAATGCAACTATAATAATTCAACTTACCTCCCAGGTGAGAGCGTCGGTGTCAACTTCCGAGGCCTTCTTAGCAAGGTGCGTGATAAGCACGAGGCAGTCCTTCAATTCCCCCGCCCTACGCGCGTTCTCCTTGCAATATGCATCCGCGATCGCCTTTTGAGTACCCGCCTTGGCTAACAGCTCGTCGTTCACCAAGGGTTCGTCGCGCTCTTCCTCGTCATAAGCTGCAGC